AGTGCGTGACTTTGGTGGGACACTTTGGAGCTACAGCAGACAGAGCTGGAGGACGCATTCTGAGCGTGGGGTCACGCGGCCACCGCGTCTCCTCCGTCCCCCACGTTGGAGTTGACGTTCTCCAAGGCCACCATTCCATTGTTGGCCCTGGTGTGCCCAGCCTCAAAGTCCTGCCTGTCTGAAGGACGAACATGCCCATCTTGCTTTAATTTGGGTTTCTTTTATTGTAAATGACGTTGAACAGCTCCCTCCCCTGACTTGATACTTGCCGTTTAGTGACAGGGGCAGGGGACCTTGGGGAGCCCTCTGTGTCTCTGTGTGACACGTAGTGATGCTTCTGCGACTTTAAGATGATTTTTTAAAACCCACAAGTTCTGCTACATTTTTTTGTTTGTTTCTTCTTATCATCTCTCTTTGACCTTCCTTCCCTGTCACTTCTTCTGATTTTGGTTTTTAAGTATATGATGTCCTTTAAAACTTGGAAACTGTCAAAACGCCACAAGGTAGCACCGACGTCGTTTTAGGATGCGATTCTAACTAAGGGGCTGAGTCGGAAGCTTTGTGTGGAAGTGTCGCTCTTTACTGTGACTTGGTTACGGTCACAGCATTTCCAGTGAGCCCTGGGCCACCCTGGCCCTTCCCCACTTCCAAGCTCGGGTTGTTTGATCTCTGATTACTTTATCTGATCTCTGCTGTGTCCTGGTACAGCAGCAGAGGGGAGGGGAGACGATGCCCTCCTTCTCGGTTCCTGCTAGTGACCGTCCGTTGGCTCCAGTGCCTCTCTGGCCTCACCTGACCAGGTGAGTGGACAGTCCCTTGCAGAGGTCCTAGGGGACATTTAGCATGGAGTTTGTCTGAGTCGGTGTGGTGAAGGGTTCTGGTTCCAAGCTGGCACTGCTAAAACGCCCCCTTTCTAACTGTTTCAGCATCCGCCCACCCATTGGGAAGGATCCGAGGCAGGGTTGCGGAAATGGTCCATGACACCGGTTATTAGGTGAGCGATGGACTTGCCTGTGGGTGACAGTTCCCTTTAGAAGGGACTCTTCAGAAGGTGTCGTTCTTGGTGCTCCGTCCGGCGGTGCCTGACCCCATGGGCGGCTGGAGAGCTGGGAAGGAATGTCTGTCTCAGCAAGCTCAGGCATTTCTGCCCGGAGGGACTGTGGTCAGGGGAATGCACTGTAGAGGGCATCTGAGGCTCTGCATGGGTGTGGGCGGGGAGGGGCCACCAGCGAGGTGACATGGGGCAGGCTCATTTGGGTGGTGAGTGTGGCACTTGGGGTCAGCACTGACTTCCCTGGGCAGGATGGGAAGGGGCCTGAGTGGGGGGCTGCCTGTGAGGCTGTGCCCTGCCTGGACCCTGCCTGCTGTTCCCGGGGACAGGACTGCACGTGCAGGCGAACAGATGGCCTTTGACAGTGACGCGTCTCCCCACCTCCTGGGGATCTCAAGGAGCTGGTGGCCCTGTTTCTCTTGGGTCACACCAACTTGCAGCCCTGCCCCTGGTCATCAGGGGAATCTGGGGGGGGAGGGCCGAGGGCACTGGGAGGGCTTCTGGGCCGCTGGCCTCTGGTCCTTACTCCCGTCCCTCGGTGCACAGGGTGGAGGGCGGAGCAGGAGTGTGTTGGCGGAACAGCAGAGCTGGTGTGCCAGCGCCCTGCTGCACACGGGCGTGTGGCCATGCACTGACAGGGGAGCGGAGGTGCCCAGCCCCTGGCAGGGCCATCGCTGGCCCGGCAGCCACCCCTGTTGTGCTGATTGACCTTGGCCGGGTCCTTCCCCTCTGGTGCTTCAGTTTGTTCACCTGTGAGCTTGGAGGGGCCATCTGGGGTGGGGCGGGGGGCATCCCTCTGTCCTCGCATCTGGGGGACATCTGGAGCCCCGGAGCCTGGCCCTGGGCAGGATCCCAGCTCCCTGTGACAGCAGAAGGGTGGCTCCCAGTACCAGGTGTGTGCTGACCCACATTGTCACCACGAGGGGCCACCGCCTGGGAGGAGCCCTGGCCTCTGTTCTCAGCCTCACGCCTGCAGTCACCTTGGTGGCCTTCAGCTCACACTGGAGTTGAAGCTGTCAGTGGGCATCTGTGGCAGCCCCAGAAACGCAGTGCTTCCTGCTGGGGGCCACCTGGGGGGCTTGTCCACTTGCTGGGATGGAGCAGGAGAGAGGAGGGGTCCAGGGAGAGGGAGCCTCTCCGCCCGACACGGTTGGGGCCAAACGCTCCCATGAGGAGACCGGCCACTCAGGCCTCCGCCCTGCAGGCTGCTCCCGAGGCTTGGAGGAAAGGTTCATGCCGCATGGTCTGTGTTCAGAGGAGTTTCCAGACGTGACTTCCCCGGTCATGAGCAGATGTTCCAGTCCTAGCGTCCTGCCTGGGAAGCCCAGTTGTGCTAGCTGAGCGTCTGCAAGGCCCCGTCCACCCCCTCCACTGGTGTCTCAGCGTTCCTGGTCCTTGTCTGTGCTTACAGATCCGCCTGGCTTTAGCTTTCACGTCGGGAGCAGAGCAGTGCCCCCTTATCTGTGATCTCACCTTGCGCAGTTTCAGTTGCCTGTGGTCAGCCAGAGGGTGGGTACAGTACAGCGAGATGTTTTTCAAGAGAGAGAGGAGAGAGAGACTGTGTTCACATAACGTATTACAACGTGCTGCTGTGATTGTTCTGTTATTTTAATTGATGATTGTCGTTAATGTCGTACTGTGCCTGATGTATACCTTTATAGTTATGCACGTGGTGCTGCCCGCGGTTGCAGGCCTCCACTGGGAGTCTGGGAATAGACCCCGTGCATGGCGATGATCTGCATGTAAAAGGCCATTTTCAAAGGAAATGCTCCAGAAGATGAAGACACAGAGTCTAGAACTTGCAGTGGAGTGGAAGCAAAAATAACCCTTTTCAGGGATCTGTTTCCTACGTGAAGTGGTCCATACAGACGGCTTTGCATTTGGGGAGTCCTTGGCTTGGGGACAAAGCAGCCATTGTCCTTCCCATGGCTCCCATTGGACCGTCTAGAAATTCAGCCAGGAATGGAAGGGTGGCCTCTGCAGGGGGCTGGTGGCACCACACAGTGACGGCAGTGACCCAGCAGTCCCGGGGTGCCGGGGTGCAAGCACATGGCAGAGGGCCTCAGGGTGGAGGACAGGCTTCCCTGGGACACCTTGGGGCAGTGAAGAGGGGCAGGGTAAAGGCTGGGACCCAGACTCTGGGACTTGAATGTGCTCATCAGGAGAAGTTGGGTGCAGAAGGGAGTCGCTTTGAGTGGTGTTGTTTCTCTTTCCCCTTCCTGACACTAGTTGAAAACAGCCCTGAGGTCTCCCCAGCACACCACATGTGTGCCCCTGCCCTGAGGTTGGGTGTGCCGCAGCCCCGAGGCTGTGTCACCTGCAGTATCCTGGGGCCCCCTGCTCCTCAGGGAGGTGCTTTATTTTTAGCAAGTGTCTAGAATACTCAGAAGCCAGAGTAGGACACTTGCAGATTTAATTAAATGACACTGAAATGGGAGGTAATTACTTTTACCTGTTTCAGAAGGTCTGGGAGGGTCTCTCTGGTCCTCCGACTGCGGCCCCAGGAGGCGGTCACCTGGAAAAATGCCGAGGGCCCTGCCCCACGGGCACCCAGAGTCCTGTGGGTGCTGATCTGAAGGCTTGTGGGTTCACTGATGTAAAGGGTCCTGGTAAGCAGCCTTGTCCTTGGTGTGGACCTGTGTGGTACCGGCACACGCCTTGTCCTTGGTGTGGACTTGTGTGGTGTCAGCGCACGCCTTGTCCTTGGTGTGGACCTGTGTGGTACCGGCGCACGCCTTGTCCTTGGTGTGGACCTGTGTGGTACCGGCGCACTATTGCCTTCAAGTCACCCGGGGTGAGCAGGTACAGCAGGTGTTGGGACGCAGTGAGACAGTGGACACCGTGGCTCTAACCCGACAGGCCGCATGGAGAATCAGCACCATGCCGCCGGAGCACAGACCAGTCCTGACCCAGGACTCTGCCCTGGGCCACAAGCTGCTGGCCCATCTCTAGTGATCAGAAGGTTCCGCACCCTCAGCTCCCTTAGGTCTGAGCTGGTTCCTCACCTCAACAGCTGCGTGTGGCCCTTACTGCTTCTTGGTGCTTTAGATACGGCCCTGGAGCGGGGTTTAGTGTTGGCTGCTCTGTAGAGGCACGGCGTGCTGGAGCGTGGCTGTGGTCAAGAGCCGGGAGGTGCCTCGGTGTCAGGTCCGCAGCACGCCGTGAAGACTTAGCAGGAAGGAAGGACGCAGGCACCTTCTTCACAACTGTTAACTCCGCGTGCAGGGGTCGCCTTTTGCCTGTGTGTCAGGTTAAGTGTATTACTGAGGTGAGCATCACCTGCTCGTGCGTAATAATGTGACTTCCAGGAACACCTGCAGCGGGACGCAGTGCTCGCCTGGTGTGTAGGACAGTGTTGATCTAGAATGTTCTGGATGCCGTAAACCTGCCTCGCCCCCTCTTGCATTTCCGCAGCCCAGCCTGCTGGGTCTTCCCAGAGAAAAGCAATTCTCCACTCCCCCGGTGGAGAGTGCACCCAGCGCTGCCCAGCCCTTGGTGAGCTCACCTGATGGCCCCTCATTGTCCAGGCCTCTGTCCCTTGTTTTCCGTGGGTAAGGAAACCTACCGCGCCTTCGCTTGCAGCTGATTTTCCACTTTGCGGCGTCCTGAGCGCGTCGGTTGCCCACCCTCTGCGTGCGGTGATGGTGATGGCCCATCCTGTGCCCTGGGGGAGGAGGGCCACCATGCAGCCCCACCCCCACCACGTGCACTGGCTCTGGCAGCCTTTGGGGTGTGGGTGGAGGGGCTGCTGCCTGCACAGCTGTGGGGCACCCACTGGGAAGGCCCTCGGGCATCCACATCTGGACAGGCTATTAATAGCCCACAAAGGACCCATTTTTCTTGGCGAAGGGTGGACATGTGGCGATGCTGTCATGCCCACGAGGGGGGCCTGTGAAGCCAGCCTTTCATGGAGCAGCCCTCTGGCACGTTCTGCCCCATGTGAGCGGGACCCGGGGACCCATGCCCACAGCTCCGCAGGGTGCGGACGGCGGCTGGCCGGAGCTGAGGCACCGTGCTGCCCCCAGGGCCGCCCGTTCAGCGGCTCGTCCTGCCCACCTGTTGCTATGCACAGCACCTGTCACCTGGGGAGGGACAGGGCCTCTGTGGCCCATTGTGCTGGGGCAGTGGAGCCTCTACGGAGCAGCCAACAATCAACCCCGGGTGAAGACCGACCCCAGCAGGATCCCTAGGTCCCACGTGAGTGGAAGGGCAACCCGGGCCTTGCTGAGGGGGGACGTCCGCTGGTGCTGGTGGTGGGGAGGGCGTTCCTGGCACAGGAAACGGGAGACTCAAGGCCCCGCGGCCGGTGGGGTTCACCGTGGTGTTCAGGGTGTGTGTGGGGGTGTCTGGGCCCAGGTGGACTCAGGGAGGGCGTGGGCGAGCAGAGACGCTTGGAAGGGGACTTGGTGCTCAGGGATGCTGACGTGGGGGTGGGGCCCAGGCTGCCAGGGAGGTGCCAGGCACCTGGTAGGATGCAGGCGGCCGCATCGGGGCAGGGAGGTGGCCCTTGGGATGTGTTGGAGGGTGCAGTAGGATGGGTGGCCTGGAGTGGGTTCTGGGGACTGGGGTGCCCTGTGACCTGAGGAGTCGGAAAGGTAGGGGCTCTGCCTACGCTCCTGCCTGGCTCTTGAGGAGGGGTCTGAGCTGGGTGATTCCGGGCACTGAAGCCGGAGATGCTGATTCATGGGGAGGAAGCTGGGGAGACGCCCCAGGGCTGGCCTGGGGGCTGGGTCCTGGCTGGTGCCAGAACACGGGAGTTCTCCCTGACCTGAGTGGGAATGTCCTCCTCACCTGTCCATCAGGTGGAGACAGGCTGGACCTGCTCCTGCACCCACGCCGGCCTGTGGGGATGCCAGGATGGAGTGGCCCCCAGGGCCTCGGTCACAGGCAGCCATGCAGGTGAGCAGAGGTGGAGAGGGACTGGGGATGGGTTCAGAGTGGCCGCCGGGCTGCGGGGGCGATGGGTGGGGAGGGGGAGGGGAGGTCAACAGATGGGGAGCGGAGGGGCTGCAGGGGTGTGGGCCTAGTCTCCTGCAGTCTTGGGGCACAGTGCTGATCCCCGGGACACCCCCAGCTGAGCCCCCCAAGTCACCTGAGTTGGACACAGAGATAGGGAGCGTGGACAAGGCGGCCACCTGCAGCCACACGGGGACGGTCTGGGGGGCAGCAGGAGGTCTGGGAAGGGGGTGAGAGGAGCGTGACCTTGGTGTGCCCGTTATAGAGACAGGACGAAGCTGCCGTGGGCGAGCTGGGGTCACAGCCTCAGCCCCCGCTCAGAGACACTCAGCTTCAGGTTTTTGTTTTCGTTTTTGCCCCTTGTAGTTGATTGATGGAGTCAGGACCCCCCAAGGTACCGGGTTCTGATCCCGGGAGCCTGTGAGTGAGGCCTCATGGAAGCGCGGCCTTTGCAGAGGTTGGAGGTCGGGGGTCATTCTGCATCACCTGCTGGGCCACCCACGCAGTCCCTGGAGGAGGGAAGCAGGGGCGCTGAGACGCGGGAGAGAGAAGGCTGTGTGAAGCCGAGGGGACCCTGGAGGCATGAGCCGTGACAGTAAATTTTATATCAAGGGTCACCTTGCCTTGGGGTGCCCAGGTACCTGGTCCCACGTGGCTCTGGGTGTGTCCGGGAGGTGTTTCTGGATGGGGTTGGCATGTCGGTCAGGGCAGAGGGAGCAGGTGCCTTCCTGGTGTGGCTGGGCCTCTCCCTGTCCATCCAGGGCCTGAGCAGAACGAGGAGAGTCAGAGCAGAGCCCCCTGCTCCCTGCCCTGAACCCCCAGCCTGCGGACAGGAGGCCTCGGGGGACCGCCGCTCTCCGGGATCACATGAGCGGGTCCCCATAATACATCTCCTAGTTCTGTGCCTCAGGAGAACCCCGACTAACCAGGGGAAGCCCAAAGCCACCAGAGGCCAGAAGAGGCCGGGAAGCGAGTGTCCAGGGCCTTGACTCGGGTCCAGGGACACTGACCTCGGGCCTCTGACCTGCAGCAGGGCAGAGAACACATTCTGCTGTTCCGCAGCCACCAGTTAGTGGTGCTGGGTTGGAGCCACCACAGGAGGACAATGCCCTCAGCGTAAACAGCACTTCCCTGAATACCCGGCTGGCCGCAGTGTCAGAGCTGTCATTGGGTGACTTGGATTTCAGGGTGTGGCACCGCTGGGTCACCGGGTGTGTGGCTCTTTGATAGATCTCGCCAGATTAGTTTCCCAAACAGGACGTGGCGGGCCCTCTTCCAGGTGGTTTTTTTTTTTGATGCGTCTGTCAGCAGGGCAGAGGGACAGCTTGGTGACAGCGCTCGGTCTCCCGGGTCCTGGTGAGTGCGCGTGTGTGCTCTGGGCTCCCGCCGTCCAGGTCTTTCCGTGAGTCTCCTCCGGGTTCTTTGAGCCGTTTTCTCTCTGAACCTTCATTCCTCTCTTCCCGTCTGCAGGGCCGCGCGCGCGCGTGTGTGTGTGTGTCATGGTCACCGGCCTCTGCCCGGTTCTGCTGTCTGCTGGTGAGTTTCATCAGTGCCTCTCTGGCCATCTGGATGAGCTCTCTGCACTGGCCCGAGCGTCCCCCTTTCCTCCGTGTGGGTTGAGGCTGCTTGGGCTGCCCCTGGACTTTCCGGCACAGAGTTCTGTCCCTCTGGGTGTTTGAATGGGATTCTCCAGTGTGTTGAATGGAGGGCTGGGGATGTGGCTCAGGGGTGAGCGCCTCCTAGGGTCCCCAGGTCCTTGGTTCGTTCTTTAGGGCACCCCCACCTCCCCACCGTGTTGCAGGAGCGGGAGTCCAGCCCTCCTTCCCTCCAGGGTGCTGGCTCCAGGAGTCACTCTCCCATCCCTGGTCCCTGAAGTGAACTTCAGCTGTGTGGGCTGTTACCCTGCTGTGAGCTGGCCTCTGTGCGAGGTGGCCTCTCTCCGGGAGCCTCCACCCGTCCCCACTGCCCGCCTGCCTTCCCGTGGGCCTGAGCCACGTCGGTCGCCGTTTTCCAGCATCCGCTGCTGCGGACAAAGCGGCTGGGATTTAGGCACAATGAGGTGACCATCGGTTCACTGACCAGAGGGGGGTCCTAAGCGTACGTGGAGGATGTCGCCTGCCTCCCACCGTACCTGGGCAGAGAAGGATGAGGGACAGCCACTCGGAGGGCTGTGGATGCCAGGAAGGGACCGGGTGAAAGGGGAAGACAGACACCAGGTGGCTTGCAGAATCACACGTGCATGGGGGGAACTTCTGCGAGATCATTCAGCAGGGGGATGGCAGTGTCCAAGGCCACCTGGCACCTCGTGGAGAGAAGTCTGTCACGGGAGGTGGGGAAAGATAAGGCTCGTGTTGGGGACCTGCCTGTGGCTCGGAGGTCCTGGGTGTGGTGATCTGAGACCCCACCAGGTGGGTGGGCACCATTGCCCTTGGCTGGGGTGTGAGCGTGGGCTATGTGCAGGTGGGGTGTATGCAGGTCACTGTGTCACGGGCGTGTGGACCTGACGTTTGGCTGCCTGGCTCCAGCCTCCTCCAGAGCAGGACACTGGGCACCGCTGGGGCCCCTCTGCTGGCTGGTACCCCTGGTTTCCAAAAGCTTTCTGGGTTACCCAGGCTGGGCGGGTCACCCCGACGCTGGGAGCACAGTGAGGTCAGGGCCCGCCTTCGCCCGCCTGTGACCCTGGTCCTGCCTGAGCTGCAGGAGGAGGTGTGGAGAGTTTCAGGTACCTGATCCCACACAGGACCCACAACCGGCAGGCCAGGAAGCCAGGCTCCGCACCCGCTCCAGGGTGGGGTGGGGCTGGCCGAGGCACTCCGAGCCGGGCCCATCTGGCCCCTGGCCTGTCCTGGGCAGGATCCCCTTCAGCAGTGGCTGCCGGCCCAGCCTGCCTCGCAGGTGGCGGTCATGGGCGGGTGGGGTTCAGGCTGCACTCTGCAGGGAGGACCCGTCCTCCTCAGCCCCTGGCAGTTCCACGGAAGGACTGGACGGTGAGACACCTGCTCTGGGTCAGCGAGAAGGCAGACTGGCACCCAGGCCTGTTGGGAAGGTGGACAGAGTGGCCGGGCCCCACAGGGAGGGGGAGGGAAGTGGGTCCCCTGGCACCAGGAGGTTCCCATTGAGGTCTTTGGCTCAGGTTGCTACCCAGCTGTGGACTGTGGGTTCCCCCCGTCCTGGGCTCTGTCCTGGGTGGTGGTCATGTTCCCTATGCAGTGTGCAAGTCCCTGAGGGGCCAGGCAGAGCCCTGCAGGTCGGGCCAAGTGGGCTGTGAGGTGCATCCTGGGAAGAGGAGCCAGCCTCCTCCTGGACACTGAGTCCTGGGCCCTGCAGAGGCCACGCGGGCAGCTGTAGGGGTGCCCCCTGCTGTGGAGCATGGCCCTGGAGGGCACCACCTGTGACTCCAGCCCCCAGAGGGGCAGTGACCTGTCCCAATCTGTGTGCTGAGGGGCTTGTGCTTGGCCGGTCCAGGCAGTGGTGCAGGCTTGCGGTTGATGCTGCCCGTGCCTGCCCGGGGCCTGAGTGACAGTGGGCAGCGGCCTGGGGCCTTGCATTTTTCTCTCCAGAAAGGGGAAGAAGGGAGGGAGGAGGCCGTGGCCCTGTGGGGCACCCTCTAGTGCTGACCTTCCCCAGGGCTGGAAGACATGGTGGCTTGTCCCCCGTCCTCCTGCGCCTGCACCAGGACCGCTCACGGTGGTTGGGACTCACTGTGGCAGCTGGCGGGGCCTGCGGAAGTGACAGCGCCTGTCTTTCCCCAGCCCACCTTGACCTGTGGGCGAAGCAGGACCCTGGTGAGGCGTGGGGTTTACCGGTCCCACCGCACCCCACCCTTCCTGCCCTTCCGCCCCTGAGCATCTCTCTCCTGGGAGATTTTGCCACCCTCTGACTTTCTCGTCAGTCTTCCCCTGCTCCCGTGACTTAAGCACGCCACCTTGGCAGAGCTGTGTGCCTCCAACAGAGAACTCTGGGAGGCCTGCTCACCAGCTTGGAGAGACCAGGCGGGGGGCCCATGGGGCTGGGCCGGGGCTCTCAGCCTCCAGGACCCTCGTGCTGAGCCCACCCCCCATGGTCTGGCGGCTGACCAGGGGAGCATCACGACCCAGGCCTGGCCAGTGGGAAAAGGAGGGGGACAGCCGCAGCGCGCTGGGTGCCCCGGCAGGAGGAGGTCAGCCGCCGCGCCCTGGGTGCCCCGGCAGGAGGAGGCCGGGAACACGCTGAGCTTGCAGCCGGGCTGGGTGTCGTCCACA